ACTCCCACTCAGGAACCCACCACCCAGGACCCCTCCACTCAGGACCCCCCACCCAGGACCCCACCAGGTATGTCTGCATCTTTTCTGACTTCTTCATCTCAGTGTTCGGCACCCTGGTAAAACCCAGTGAGTCTGTCTGTAGGGTCTTTGGGCCGTGTGGGCCTGTCCGGCCTCTGTGTTTGCTTTGGCCTGTGGGCGGTGTGCTGTGGCCTTCACTGATAATGGCTCCATGAGCAATGAGGACCTCAACTGTGCCCCTGGGGTCTCTCTGCACACTGCCTCCCCTCCCCTAAAGCTCCTTCTCTGTCCCAACTTCCTGGGATGAGAGGGGGACCCTGTTTGGGTCCAAGGACCCCTTTGGGTGGAGAAGATAAACCAGAAGCCCCCTTCCTCAGACAGGAAGCCCAGTGAGGGAGCCAAGGCGAAGTCCAGAGCACGTGGACAGGGCGTCCGGACAGAAATGTGGTGCTGAGGGTGTGTGACCAGCCTCTTGGGGTGCAGCTGGAGAAGCTCCTGACAGAGCTGGGGGCGGAGGGCCAACCTAACGTCTCAGCTGGCAGGGCCTCCTCTCAGGGAACCTCTGATCAAGGGTTGCCAACCTGGCTTGACTCTATGCGAGGCGTGTGCTTGGAGCCAAGGTCAGGGGTAGGGGATGTGGATCATCCCTGGGGTGGGAGGGGAGGCATGAGAAGGTGTGTGGAGGGGGCCGTGGGGCGAGAGAAGCACCGTGGCAGGAAACGGGGTGAGGTCTGAGCATGAGACACAGACCCCGAGGACACTTATGGAGCAGAGTGAGGCCATCAGTGCCACCAGGAGTGAAGAGGGAGACCCAGGCATCTCAGATCAACTTCCCCTTTTCATTCCTGACTGTAAACTGAAACCCTTTTCAGATGTAATTCCTAAGACTGTAAACAGAGGGCCGGGCGCGGTGGCTCACGCCTGTAATCCCAGCACTTTGGGAGGCCGAGGCGGGTGGATCACAAGGTCAAGAGATCGAGACCATCCTGGT